GTGAGGGAGGTAGGCAAGGACAGCAGGGCATGGAAGAGCCAGGATGCTCCAACCGGGACCTGTGGGGCCCTGAGAGCGGGGTCCACCCAGGGATGCCCCAGAGAACACAAACCAGCCTGCCCCCACCCCGGGAACCTGAACCAGAAAGCCTGGACAGACCCGGCTCACACTCAGAGAACACAGGCCTGTGCATCCTCCCCTCGTTGACCCCCAGGGAGCCTGCATGTCCTGGCGTGACCAGGCCTCTCGCACACAGGGGCCCTAGGGGGTGCGTCTGGGTCCTGGCTCACACGGGGAAGCGGGGAACCCCCTGGGCAAGAAGAGGTCACATGCACACTCCCTTCCTACCCCTGACACGGGCAGGGGGACAATGGAGGCAGAGCGAGGCCAGATCCAAAGAGAGCTGGATGGGGAGGGGGTGCTGGAGCGAGGGGCCCATTGTCCCATGGGCCCCACAGCCCCCAGGTGGGGAGGCGGCCGGCTGGGAGGCCAGGGGTCTGCGGCCTGCCGAGATGGTACCCCCCAAGCAGCCTCCACCCCCAGCCCTGGCCTGGGGCCCCGGGACCCTGCCCTGAGCTGAGGGGGACAAGCCTTCCAGCCAGGTTGCCCCACCCTTCCCGGCAGGAAATGGCGGGCTCGGTGGAGGGGTCTGGAACGTGCACACAGCCACTCCTGTTGGCAGCCTGTCCGGGACATGCCCCGTGTACGGAAGGCTTTGATCGCGTGCTCCCGAGCTGAGGGTCCCCACTCTCCCCTCCCCACGGCCATCCCCCGCCCCTGCCCCACTGGCCAGTGCCAGCAACACCAGGGTTTGCATTGGCCTTCGGCCAAACCCCGGAATGTGCCTGCTGGCTGCTCGGCAGCTGTTCCTGGAACAGGCGCGACAAAGCACAGACTGTCTTTGAGACGTGGGCGGACGGGGTGCAGCCTGCCCAGAGCCACGCATGAATAGGGCACAGAGGCGCTGGGACAAGATGAATGGGCTCACACAGGCCGGACACCCATGAATGGGCCGCGGGCGTCCAAAGACGCGGTAGAACTTGGAACGGGCCGGTGGGGCCCAAGAGCCGGGGACATGAGCCTACGTGAGGTGTGGAGTGTAGGCCGCTGAGGGTACACGCCTCTAAAATCCCCAGTGAAAGGGGGAACAGTGCACCCCAAGACCCAGTGTCATGAGTGCACGGGATTCGGGCACTCAGGAGTGGGGTGCAAGCTACAGAACCCAGACATCCTCGTGAGCATCTAGAGATCCACAAAGGGCCAGTTTCCAGTTCCTGGATCCATGGGGCACTGGGCGGCGGCTATGCACGGTCACGGGGAGCCAGGACCCAGACCCTTGCACAGTAGGGGAATGGCACCCCTCAGATGTTCCAGGAAGTGTGGAGGCTTCAGACCCCCAAGGGAGGAAAACGGAACCCCCAGACAGAGTTTAGACAGCAAGGAGCAGCCTGCCTAGAGCCATGCAGGAGCTCAGCACGGAGAGGCCAGGATGGGCCTGAATGGGCTCCCGCGGGCCAGACGCCCGCGAACGGAACCAGACGTCTAAAGATGGGGCCTGAGCCCCAGGATGTGGGCCTATGTGAGAGGCAGATGGTGAGGGGCTAGGCCGCCTGAGACCCTGATGACTCTGGGGTTCAGGCAGCCAGAGAAGAGAACATGGTAGCCAGCATTCCAACTCAGCAACTAGGGGTGGACGGCCCCGAGGCCATGGAAACAGGGGGCAGAGCACTGTCAGGTTGATGGTCGAAGTCGGAGGAGTGGGGTACGGGCTGCCCGGAGTGGTGGGTGTCTGGGGTCCGAGTCTTCAAGTGAACGATGCAGCCAGATTGGGAGGCTTGGGGAACGGAGGGCCAGACCCACATTCAGGGTTGGGTGGTGGAATCTAGAAATTCAGGGTGGCAGGCACCCGGCCCGCATCTGTGCGAGCGAACAGGCTGCAGATACGGGCAGTTACCCAGAGCCACACAGAACTGGGGTGGGGCGGGGGGGCTGCCGGCTGCACCGTGCTAAGGTGACCTGGATTGGGCAGCCAGAACCTCGGCTGGAGGAGCAGGAGAGGGCCACCTCCTATAAGCCAGGTGTGATGTGCCTGGGGCCCAAGGCACCCAGATGAGGGACTAGTGGGGTTCCAGGTCTATAGTCTCCCAGCTGGACCAGGTGCACACCATCCAGCTCAGAAAAGCTGAGGGGGCTGAATGGCAGAGAAGTCACCCCATGGTCCAGGGAACGGGGTATAGGCCCCCGAGCCTCAAGAACAGAATCCACAAGGACGGATGACAGGCTACCAGGCTGTAGATGCTAAGGCGTGGGGGGTGGGCAGTTCAGCTTTTCAGCCGGGGGACTGGGGATACAGGAACCCAGATGCTCCAACTGAGGGGGTTCAGGACCCACTCAGGCTAACAGGGTACAGGACCCACACACATCAATGAATGGGGTATGGGACCCAGGCTCTCAGACTAATGGGCTCCAGAACCCAGATACTCAGTGTAATGGGGGACAGGACTCCATATTCAAGCACATGGGCTTCAGGACCCCAGGCCCGTACCCCGCTTGTGGGAGGCCTAGCACGGGCATCCCAGACACCTGGGCGGCAGGGCAAGCAAAAGGCCCGGCACGCAGATGAATAGCACACATAGCCAGAGACAAGGGTGACACGCACAGACGGGGGTGGGTAGAGCACAGGGCGTCCAAACCACAGGAACAAGGCCACTGGGCCTGGCCTGGTGCTCCGGCCTACGGGAGACATGTCGGGGGGATCCAGGCACCCAAGGGGCCAACGAGTGGGTCCGGGTTGTCCGGGCACCTGGTGACCACAGCCCGGAGAGTCCCGGTGTCCAGACCTCAGGTGTGAGGGCAGAAGGTCGTCAGATGCTCAGGGGTTCAGGCGTGTCGCCAGGTATTTGCCCCGACGCCAAGGGTACCCCCCGATGAACAGAGACCCTGAGAGCAGGTGAAGGGGGCCCTCCCAGAGCTCTGGAGGAACGGGCCACATGGTCCCAGAAGCCCCTGGGAGGGGCCGTCTGTGGGGAGGGGGGCCGGTGGTCCCAGGAGGGCCCCGATGCCTGGGTCACAGAGAATCCCAGTTTTCTGACACGGGGGCTCTGGTCAATGGATTCCACCGCAGTCACGCGATGAGGGAGACATCCACCAGCTTCCAGGTGAATGGGGTCTAAATCACCCAGACACTCCACAGTGCGGGGTCCACGTCCCCCAGAAATACAGGCTCACAGGCAGCACAGAGACTCCGGGAGAAGGGAACAAAGCTCTGCGAACAGCACCTCAGCGTCAGCGTTCAGAGGCGTAGGGCAGAGTGGGGTGCAGGCTCCCGGAGGCTCAGACAATGGGGTATGGGCACCCCAGACGAAGAGGGTGCGGAGAGCCGGAATCTCGGCACGGGGGCACATGCAGGCTGAGAGCCAGCAAACGGGCACAGGGTCCCCCCTCCAACCCGCCGCCCGGGGCCGCGGCAAGGCGAGCACCCCGGGGCCCGGAGGAGTGGGGGGTGGCCGCCGGGGCCCGCGCGGGCAGGGTGCACACGTGCTGTCCTGGCACGTCTCGCGGTTCCGTGCCGGCAGCTCCTGGCTACCCCGAGCCAGCGTTTGCCATGAGTTCCAACCTCAAACATTCCCCAGGCAACCTCAAAGGAAGCACCCCCGTCCAGGAGCCCCGCCAGGGCCTCCGTGTGGCTGCTGGCTGCCAAGCCGCCGTCTCGGGGGCTGTGGGGCTAGCCGGGGGCTGCCAGCTCTGTTTGGTTTTCCCCATCCCGCCCTGGAGCCTCAGACGCCCGTCTCGCCATGGAGGCGCCCGTATCCTGGGAAAGGCACAAAGACCCTACAGTGGGGCTGGGGAGAGCCGCGCGCGGGGGCCATGTGCTCACCGCACGCCAGGACCCCCCAGCACATGCGGCCAGTGCTGCGTCTTGCCCCCAAAGCAGGGGCGCCGACCTGCCCCCGGAGCACGGCCGGGGCTGCCCTGGTCCCCGAGGTGTTGGCTGCTTCTTCCAGATCCCCCTCACTGGGTAGGACTCGGAGAAAGAGCCGAGCCCCGTACAGGGGGACACGTCCTCAGAGCCGCGCGTGACCGGCACGCCCGCCTCCCACCAACCCCGCAGCAGCCTCCCGGAAGTCCTGCCCGACCAGCCGGGCCGGCTGCCCCTGCGTCACCAGCTCTCCTGTTAAGCATTAACCAGCTCCATGTCTGGTCGCAGCAGGAATGGGTTTAGAGAGACACCCTGGCCTGGGAGGGCCATTTAGGGCCGGGCCCAGGGAGGGACCTGAGCCGGAGTGACCAGACCAGATGAGCTGGCCAGAGTTGCATGGGGGCTGAGCTCATAGGCCTGCTGGGTCTGCCGGAGCAAGGGCGGGGGAGGGAGGTGGGCCAGGACTTCCGGCCTGCTGGCCCGAAGGGAACTGAGACCTCTGGGGACGGGTCCGGCCCAGCCAGAGGCAGAGGCATGGATGAAGTGACCTCCAGAAGGTTCTCTGGGCTCTGGAAGCCCAGGCGTCAGCAGGACCAGGCAGGCTCAGATAGTCACCCAGGGACAGCGCCACCCGGCCAGGGGCCCTGCCCTGCACACACAGCGTGGTCCTGGTTCTAGTGGCGCCCAAAAGCTGTGCTCCTCCAAACCCAGATGTCCTTGTGACTCAGGGCACCACCCTTGGGGTGTAGAACCTTCCCAAACCAAGTCCAGCCTGACCTCCCTCCCGCTGCCCCTCCCAATGTCCAGCCCAAATAGGCTGTCACCCCCCTCTCGCAAGGCCTCTGGGAGGATGAAGAGACCCCAGCGTCCCTGGAGGGACCCCTGCCTGGACACCTGGCGCCTGGGTCTCAGGAGGGACCCTCCTCTCAAGGGAGTTCCCTGGTTGCTGAGGGCCAGCAGTTCTGACCCTGAGGTAGGGCTCCCCGAAGCCCCGCCTTTCGCACCCCCTCCCCCACCAAGACTACGGTCTCATTTCCTGGAGGCCACGGCTCCCAGCGCGGCCCTCGTGTGCCGGGGTAGGATGGCCTGGAGGCTAGCCCCAGAAGTGCAGCAGGTGAGAACGTGCTACACCTGGGGGGCGGCCACCCCGACATTTGAGGGCCCACGGAAACTTGCTCCCATGGTAACAACAGTCAGACTGAAGAAGGAGGGGGTGGTTGGCTTGGCTTTCAGGGGTGCTGGGCCCCAGGCTGACATGGAGCCCCCTCTGCCTGGGAGAGCCAGGGCTCCTGAGTGGATGAGGCAGGCTGGCTCCAGCACAAGCCGCAGGGCAGGTCAGGTGGGAGGGCGGGGAGTGATGGGAGGGCTTCCTGGAGGAGGTGGGGCTCACGCAGGCCTTGAAGGGGGAGGAGGATGGAGATGGGACGGAAGGACAGCTGGAGCCGGGCCAGTGGGAGCAAAGCCGTCTGTGCAGGGAGGTGGCCAGGAGGCCGGCTGTCCCCGCGGAGCCACAGGGCTGCGTCTGCACGGGGGGGGGAGGGGGCGTCCCACAACAGGTGTCTGGGACAGGGACCCCACATAGGAAGGATGCCCGGCTGCTCCTTTCCCGGGAAACAGCCTTAGTGCTAGAGAGGGATTTCCCCCTGAGCCACGGAAGCCGGAGCAGAGGGGGTTCCAGGAGGTGGTGGCCAGGAAGGCAGCCCCGGAGGCAGCCCCAGGCGCTGCTGCAGGAGAGCTGGCAGCCGCACAGGCCCGGAGAGTCGCCTGGGGCTACCTGGCTGCCCCGGGTCGCCCTCACCCGGTGCTTCCCTGGAGTGGGACGTGGCTGGGTCCACTGGAGCCCACGGCGCCACCTGGTGGCTGCGTGCCTGCCTGAACCTTCACCACCATGGGGACCCGGAGGTCCTGAGGGACCCTGTGCCTCCCCCCAGGCCTGGGGGTCCCGCAGCGCCGTGGCCTGCATCCCCAGCGTCCCGGGACCCTCCGGGGCCAGCCTCCAGACATGTCCTGTGGTCCCAGGGTCCACCTTCACTGGGATGGCCCGGGAATCCTGCCAGGCCTGCAGTCCCCAACCCCCGAGAGTCCGTGCCCACCCGCCCCCACCCAGGGACACAGGGAGAGGCACACACATGCCGGTCCACACGCACACACGTGTGCGCACACAGATGCGGTGCTGACCTCGCACCTGGAACTCTCAACCATAAGTCTCCAGTGAAGCGACTTTAATTCCAGAAGACAAATGGGCTCTGGCATTCCGGAAAGTCAATATTCACTCTCAGTTCCATGTGGGGGTTGGGGGCTCCGGATCTGGCCTCAGGCGTCCCGCTCCAGGGACCCTGCAGGACCCCCAGGAGCCCTCAGGCCATCCGCCGCCCCTCCCCGGGGCCCTCCACCAGCCACGTGGGGTGCAGAACAGATCCAGAGTGTCCTGAGGACAGAGGGCGTGGAGGCCTGTGGGCTTCCCTGAGCACCCGTACCCCACGGCAGGGGCTCACCCAAAGGGAACCCAAACAGAATCGACCCCGTAATTTGCAGGGCCCATGCAGAAAACGTGCAGCCTTTGGTGCCAAATGGTTAGAATTTCAAGACAGCAATGGGGGGCGTTAAACCAGGCCCGGGCCCTTCTCTCTGAGAGCTGTTTCCTCCTGCGTGCGGGGCCGGGCACCTCGTCCCTTCCCGGTGCTGCAGGTCCCCCCGCAAGGACAGTGCACACACGGCCCCCTAGGGGTGGCACGGCCGGGCCTGGGAGGCGGGACACCCGGGGCCTGGGCACTCTCTGAGCGGAAGCTCCTTCCACCGAACGAGGAAGGGTCAGGGGCTCCGGGAGCGGGGCGGCCTGCGTCCAGCCCGCGGGGGAAGGGGCATCGGTGCCATGTGCATGGTTGTCATCTCTGTGGAATCGCGGTGGGGCTCCTTTCTGCCTCTCCCCATGGGGGTGCAGAAGGGAGGGGATCCAGCCCTGCTGCCCGCTTACTCCTGGAGGGAGTGTGGCCCGGGCCCCTGGGTCGAGGGGTGGCAGGCTCTTGTGGATGAAGAGGCAGAGACCCTAGTTGGAAGAACTGTGACCTTGGCTCCCAGTGCCCCCCAGAGGAGGGGAGGCCAGGAGGAGCTGAGCCAGGGGAGTTCCCATGGGTCTGGGGTCCCAGTGTGCCCCAGCGTGGCATCCACCCCCCCCCCGCCCGCTCCGAATCCCCAGTCCCTGATGTGGGTGGGAGCAACCCCCCCCCGGGCGGGCCAGGTGTGCTCCCGCCCCGGGCCCCAGGCAGGTAGGCTGCGCCAGGCCCACCCTCCCTTCCACCAGCAAGAAGGGTGGCAGGTCGGCAGGTGGGCAGGTCTGGGCAGTGGCTGCTGAGTCAGTTTGCAAGGAATGTTCTGGCCGCTGTCAGCTTCACCCTGTCCCTGCCTGCCCCCACCTCACCCTGCTCCCCGGGCGCTCCTGGCACAGCGCCCGTGCCGGGAACGCATCTTCAGCCCAGGCTTGCTTGGACAGGCTCCCCCCAGCAGCCGACCCCCACTCCTCTCCCTATGTGCCCCCATGACCCCAGCAGAGCCCTGGCCCCTCAGAGCCCCCGTCTCAACGTTCCCCGGTTACTCCCGGGTCGCAGCGGCCCCCACGTGTGAACAGGGCTTCACCCGTGTGACCGACAAACCAGGGCGGGCCTGAGGTCAGGGCCAGGGACGAGTCAGGACCCGACAACAGCCCCCAGGCGGGGCCCAGGGCCCCGGGGAGAGAGGCCGGGAAGGAGGGGGCTTCCTGGAGGAGGAGGCTCTGTAATGAGGAGGCCTGGCCTGCTTGGCTGGGGGCTGGGGGCTGGGGGCTGGGGGCTGGGGGCTGGGGAGGTGGCCAGGAGGCTGGGCCTATGGCAGCCAAGCCGGCACTTTGGCCAGAGCCCAGCGCCTCCCTCCCCTTGGCTCCACTCAGAGCCCTTGCCCCTGGCCACCCCGGGCTGCCTCCTTGCCCAGGCAGACCCTGGGCCCGCTGCTGCTGGGCAGATGGGGCACTGGGCCGGGGGCCGGGGGGCCAGCCCCAGAGGTGAGCCGGCCACCTGGCTGTCTGCTCCCAGCGAGCAGGGACGGGAGATGGGGCACCCCCCGGGCCCCCACAGCACCCCGGCCCCGGAGGGCACCACGGCTGTACCCGGGTTCATTCCGGACCTCATCGTCAGGCTCCCCTGTGAGTTGTGGGACTCCTGGGGCAGCGGGGTGGGGGGGCAGCTGCTGTCCACAGAGGCATCTCAGCTGCATTTCTGCGTCCACCCCCAGGGCCCCGCTGGGTGCTCATTGCCATCGCTGTGGCAGCTGGTGTCCTCACGGGTCTCCTGCATCCTCTGTGCCGCCTGCTACCACCACGGCCACAGGAAGAAGCCCAGGGACAGGGAGGCTGTGGGCCTGGGCAGTCCTCAAGGGACCACCACCAGCACCCACCTGGGGAGGAGCAGGCACCAGCGCTCCCCGGTGCCCAGCTCTGGGCTGGACTGCCCCCGAGGGCAGCGCCCAACGCTGGTCTGGTCGCCCAGGAGCAGAGGCAGGGAGGGCCCTCCCGGCAGGGGAAGTGAGGAGCGAAGGTGAGAGGGAGGCAGGAGAAAAGGGAGGCAGGTGGGACTAAGGCCTGCAGGCCCTGAATGCCAGCCCCAGAGGTTGGTCCACGGGCCACGGGGAGCCACAGGAGGTTCTTGAGGAAGGCAGTGGTGCTCGAGATGGATTTGGGGTAGATCCACCAGCTAAGCCCCGTCTCACAGAGCTGAGCTGAGGATGTGAGCCCTTGTGTGGCCTGGCCCAGGACGTGGTGCTGCCTCCCCGGGCGTCCCAGCAGCACCTGTCACCTATCCTTACCTACCTCAGGTGCAACCGGACATGGATAACTCGGAGACTGCCCCGGGGGCCCTCAGCACTGGGGACGCCTGCAGCTCTCCCTGGAGTATGACTTTGGAAGGCAGGAAGTGCAGACCCCCCCTTTGCAGGCGCAGAGGGTCTGCGGGTTCAGGGAGGGTTTGGGTGCCGGGCAGGTGCTGGGTTCGGGGCTGACCAGGGAGGGCCCAGGGGGCTGAGCCACCCCTGACTCCCAGATCAAAGTGGGCCTCAAGCAGGCTGCAGACCTGAGGACCTGTGGTCCGGGCGGCATGGCGGACCCCTATGCCTGAGTCAGCCTGTCTAGCCAGGCAGGGCACGGGCACGAGATGAAGGTGCACCACGGCAGGCTCTGCCCCACGTTCCAGGAGACCTGCTGCTTCCACATGCGTCTGGGCTGGGTGAGCCGGGGGCCCTGGGCCACATGGGGTTGCCCAGCTCACACCCTTGCCCGCAGGTACTGCAGGAAGAGCTGTCTCGGACCACCCTGCGGGTGCGGGTGCTGAGCTTCAGGCGCTTCTCTGCCGACGAGCTGCTGGGCGAGCTCAGCCTGACGCTGGGTGCCGTCGACCTGCAGCACATCCTAGAGCAGTGGTACCAGCTGGGCCCGCCGGGCGCCACGGAAGTGAGGCCACGAACTGCCGGGCTCCAGCCTGGCCCTGCCCTGGGTGCCACACGGGAAACTGAGGCCCCCTCTCGCTGCCCGCAGCCTGAGCAGTCCAGAGAGCTGTGCTTCTGGCTCCGGTATGTGCCCAGCTCAGGCAGGCTGACTGTGGTCGTGCTGGAGGCGCGAGGCCTGAGCCCGGGCCTGGCAGGTGCGAGCTGTACCTGCCCCTCTGCGTGGAGGGGGTGCCCTGTGCTCAGCGCTCAGACCTGGGACACCTCTGATCCCTTTCACCTGCCCAGACCCCTATGTGAAGGTCCAGCTCATGCTGAACCAGAGGAAGTGGAGGAAGAGAAAGACTTTGGCTCGCAAGGGCACAGCCGCCCCCTACTTCAACAAGGTCTTTACCTTCCTTGTGCCCTTCAGTCAGATCCAGGTGGGCTGCCTGGAGAAAGGGGTTGGTGGGAGCACCCTTGGGGCCAAACCGACCGCTGTCTTTCTCTTTCCCCATGCGCTTCGGCCTGCCTCCGCCCAGAGTGTGGATCTGGTGCTGGCTGTCTGGGCCCGGGGCCCACGGGTTCAGGCTGAGCCCGTGGGCAAGGTGCTGCTTGGCGCCCGGGCCTCCGGTCAGCCTCTGCAGCACTGGGCGGACATGCTGGCCCACACCCGGCGGCCTGTTGCCCAGTGGTACCACCTGCAGCCGGCCAGGGCGGCGGACTGGGCTCTGGCCCTAAAGCCCCACCTGCACCTGCCCTTTCCTGGCTCCCGGGACTGAGGTATGGGTGCTGTCCAGGCTGCCTCGGGGGGCTGCTGTAATAAATCCCTCCTCTTGCTGGGGCCGTGTGTCTTTCCCGAGCCTGTGGGGACACTGGGGTCAGGGACTCCTCCATCACTGCTGTGGGGAGAGGACTCTCTCCAGGCTCAGCCGGGCCCTGAGGCCTCTGACCAGTGTCTGAGCCCTCAGGGGGATGAAGGGGTCCCCTCCAAGCCTGATGGGGATCGTAGGAAGAGGTAGGAAGCCCTCCCTGTCAGTGGGGCTGCAGGGTCCGGGAGGGAGACTGCAGCCGGCCCCATGGGGACACAGGGGGTGATCGGGAGGCGTTTGGGGGGTGGTGACAGTGGAGGGAAAGGACCCCAACCCAAGGGGCCGCCCTAGCCCCCTGCAGGGCCCCACACTTTCCAAGGGCTGTTGCTGCGGGGCTTCCTCTTCGAGACAGCAGGGGGCAGTAGATGTCTTAGGAAGCCTCCTCGGGCCTCCTGGGGCTCAGCCCTGGCCAGGAATGCAGCTCTAATCCCCACACATCTGGACGGCTTCAGCTCCCCTGACCCTCCCCACGGCCCTGAGGCCGGCAGGGCTGGGGCCACGCACCCCCAGCTCAGAGGATGCCAAGTCATGGTCCTCCGGATGTGTCTGCCGGGTGGGGGCCTGGGCGGGGGGCGCAGGCCTGGGCCAGGGTGAGAAGGGCAGCAGTGCTGGGCCTGCCCAGGCGGGTCCCAGGCCCCTCGGGTCAGGGAGAGGTTCCCAGGCGGGTGGTGCCGCCATCCCTGGGTTGAAGGACGTGTTCCGAGTGAGCCAGGAACCACCCCAGGGCAGGGCGTTCTGGCCCACTGCACGTCCAGGCACCCTCCCTCCTGTTCCCGGGAGGACAGGATCCCGGCCGGGGGAGGGCAGCCCCCACCCAGAGGGCCCCTGCCACTGCCGTGGGCCACATCTGGGGGGCCAGGCCTTGCCCCCGAGCTGGAGCCAGCTTGGAGGAAGGAAGGGACGCGGCCAGCTCATGCCCGGGAACACCTGGCCCAGCTCAAAGGCAGCACTGAGCTGCAGGGGCGCTGCTCCACCCCAGGAAGCCAGCCCCCTGGGGAAGCAGATGGGAAAGCGAGGTGTGGACCCTGACTTAGGACCGGAGTGATCCCTCAGCTGACCCTGAGCCTGTGCCCTGCAGTGGCCCAGCAAGGCCACCTACCGCTGACCAGAGGCTCCTTGCAAGAACAAGGGAGGCTTCTCGAACTTGTCACTGAGCTCTAAATAGAGCAACCCAACCTCGGCACCCGCCCCCCCCCACCAAGACTTCTTGGACTGGACGACAGCACGCGGCTGGGCCGGGCCAGGCAGCCTGGGCAGGTGGGGAGGCCCCTGTGCCCCCATTGGTCTGAGGAGGGCTCCATGCCCTTTCTGAGCGGGGGCCCAGCCTCGGGGAGGCCATTTATACCCCTCCCCCTGGGCCCACCAGCCCAGCTTGCCGCCGCCGGCCTGACCTCGCTCCCGGCACTGCTGTCCAGACGCTAGGTGAGGCCAGCCGGGCCAGCTTAGGCCGAGGACAGGCACTTCTTGAGCTAGCTTGCAGGACGACGTCCCAGGGTGGGGGTCCTGGAGGTTGGGGGCCACCTCCAGCAGCCTCTCTGGGGGGGGCTTCCATGGAGCTGGGAGCCAGACGGAGATGCACTGGGAGGTGGCTGTGGGGGGCAGGGGCCGTGGACAGCCCCTTGATCACCGGGCCTCACTTCTGGGTGGGACACAAGGAGATGCGACAGGTCGAGGGACCCCAGGCCGAAGTGGGGAGCAGTTTCTTGCATGCACTTGGGCCCAAAGCCGAAGGAACAGAACTAAAAATAGCTGGACGGCTCTGGTGGCCACCTGCCCCCCCCCCCCCCCCCCCCCCCCCGCCAGGGACAGCTGCAGCAACCCAGGCCCTGCCTGGGACATTTCGGGAACACTTGCGCCTCTTCTCACCCTGGGAGTCCCAAGAGAGCTCCCCCAAGGAGGTCGGAGCTGGGGGCAGGGCAACAGGGGGCAGGGTTGGTCTGAGGGCTGCCCCCACCTGGGGAGACAGGGGCCGTGGCCCTCATGCCCAGGCCTTTTCTCTTCCACAGGCTCTAAGCCCAGGACTTCAGGATGGGGGAGTAAGTGCAGCTCCAAGCCCAGGGCCCCTGACGCCCCCACCCTCCCCCCACCGGGGTGGAGGTCTCTGCAGCTCCCCAGCCCGCTCTGGCCACCTCCCCCCGCACCCCATCACCCTGCCCCATCCATGTCCCCAACCATGTCCCTAACCTCTCTCTTCTCTCCCCCCTATACCCCACCTGCCCCCTCCCTGGGACAGTGAGGAGGTGAGTACCTGCTTGGGGCTGGGGGGAACATGAACCACAGAGGGGATGGGACCCCTTACTTGGGATAGGTCAGAGGTCAGAGCTCGAGGGAAGCTGACCAGCCCTCCCCTGTGAAAGTGCCCCACCCCACCACCCAGACACTGACGAAACAGAGGATGCGGCCTCCATGCCTCACAGGGCAGGGGAAGTGGGGCTGTGGCCAGGTCACCAGAATCGCTTCTTCTTTCCAACTGCTCCCCCACCTACGGCGCCCTGCCGGGATCCCCCACCCCTCCCACTGCCCCTAGGCACAGCCCCTTCTCCACCCTTCCCCCAGCCTTCGGACCTCACCTGCCACCTGGGCACAGGTGTCCTGGGCCCAGGCCCTCCAGCAGGGCCTCAGGAGCCCCCAGGTCCAGCTGTCCCCCAGGCAGGGCCCACCGGCGTGGTGGGCAAGCGTGGAGGGATGTGGGGGTGCTGGGGACCCAGATGGGCCCTGACTCTTCTTCCCCCCGTACCCCGCAGAAGCGCAACAGGGCCATCACGGCCCGGAGACAGCACCTGAAGGTAGGTGCTGCCCCCCGAGAGGTCCACCCTGGGGTGTGTGCAGGCTGGGCCCCCACGGCCCCTCACTGGCCTGCTCCCCCGCTCCCCGTCCCCCGCAGAGCGTCATGCTCCAGATCGCGGCCACGGAGCTGGAGAAGGAAGAGAGTCGCCGTGAGTCGGAGAAGCAGAACTACCTGTCTGAGCATTGCCCCCCACTGCACCTCCCCGGCTCCATGTCTGAAGTGCAGGTACCCTCCCCAAGCAGCGCTCCAGCCTGCTGCCTCAGTTTCCCCATTGGTCAAGAAGGTGGTTAGGGCAGGTGGACTGCTGCCCAATCCCCCCCCCCACCTGCTGCCCCACCCCCAGGAGCTCTGCAAACAACTGCACGCCAAGATCGACGCAGCGGAGGAGGAGAAGTATGATATGGAAGTGAGGGTCCAGAAGAGCACCAAGGAGGTGA